TTGCATTTGGATAAAGCGTAGCCATAAACATTTTCAAAACAAATCGAATGATATCCACATTATTTTGACTAAGGTGCGTAAAATCATTAGAGTTAAAGCTTCACTCTATAAAAATATTAGACCTTCACAGGCTAATGTTGTATTGGCTACTAAACCTGTCAAAATGGATCATAAACCCATTTCTTAATTTGGGTATGGGTTAGGTCGGGTATGGTTTGGATCGGATATGGGTCATTAGATTTTTATTACATGGAAAAGGATCTAAACGGGTTAAATGGGTCTATTTGAGTTGGATCATTTTCGATCCGACCCACCCGTTTAACAGGTCTATTGGCTACTATGCGGAGATTTCCTATCTCTTTCTTCTCGCATTATTAGTTCTATTTGTAATGCAGGGGATGCTCCTAAGGTACTGTAATTCATCATATAACTAATTCTTACGTTTTACAAAAATATCAATGATCTGGTGTTCTTATCAGGCTGGGTGAGGAGAGAAACGAAGGAAAACATTGTCTTTGTCCTGGAAATTTGGTTGAAAAGATATGCTAAAATGATCTGACGATTTAATTATCTCGGGGGATTGGCTTTCGTTGATGGTTGATACTAAGAAATGCTTCCGAGTGTTTTCTAATAAGCCGAGCCAAAAAATGCGAAGTGATTCTTGATTGCATGGACAGGAGACACATATGTGAACAAAATCATATCCTAGCTCAATAATCTTATTCCTATACTGCACAATAGCCGCACGGAAAATGAGCTCGCGCCATGAATTCTACAACCGCGATGCTAATCGAACCCAAATGAATCGATGAGGAAGCGTACTAAACACACAGAAAAAAGTATCTCGATCGGTTTTCGATGGCTATAATGACCTAATTCGAAAGAATTCACTTGAAATAATAGGAAGTTGCTCCAAAGGGGGGTTTTGCTTTGCTCAAGAGGCCGATGAGTGATATTTTAGCCCATGAAGTCTGACCGAATGGAGAAAAGTTGAAGGTGTGAAGGTCGAGACATGTCACTCCCTCTTTCGAATGCATCCTATTCCTAAGTCCACCAAAGCCCAACTCTTTTGTATGTGTATTAGCAAAAGATTAGAGAATCAATCTATACCCATGAGATGAAGAAACCATCAAGAACTTTTCCAAATTCTCCGTAACGAGCTGGCTCGTTTGATGCGAACCAAGTCTCCGAGAAAAGCACCCCAGTAATGATCATTTTGAGGTGATTGTTTCTATATGAATCACATCAAGAGCCCCCACTCCATCCGATGCGAAACTTGAGATGCTATAAACATCATTAAGAGATTACAGGAATCATTAGTAACTCAAATCCTCAATGGAATCGTTCACCTTCAATACATTAATGGTGCTTCGATTCATATCGTATGATCCAATTGAATGCGTGTCTTCAATATGTTTTCTCCGATTTCACCATAGATTTCTCCAAAAAGTACGAACTTGGAGATCGAATTAGTAAAAATTTTCATATGTTTCATTGAACCGTGCCACAAAATTAGGTTCGTGTAATAATCAGAGGAGACCTGAGAGTGCAACATTTTCCAAATTAAGTATTTTCTTTTTTGAAAAATTACAAAATCAGTCATAAACCTAGTGTATGGATGCCAATTCAATCCCGAACTTCTCAATTTTCCCAATGTAGCCCTAAACATTTGCCTGAAATTCCAATTTAATCCTTCCGATTAATTGTCGCTGGAAATTACTGACTTGGCCTCCAGCGATCGTCAATAGGCTTAGGATTGAATTGACATTCATACAATAAGTTTATATTTAATTTGGTAACTATCCTCATTTTTCTGGTACAAAAGAGATTGCACATTTCCAACGTATAAAAAGGTTTTTCATAACTTTCTTCATAACATGGGGTATCCATGCATGTGCAGAGGCATCCAAAGATGCATTACATGTAACCAAACAACATAAAAATGGATGAGAGGAGATATTTTATTTATCAACCAGAAAGGGAAAGAAATAGGCATTTTTGTCGGGAGAAATACCAAAGAAGTCATAAACATATTGCAATTTTACTAATTCAGTTTTAAACCTTTTTTTTGGCCAAATGAGTCATAAACCTTTTGTAATTGTGCTAATTAAGTACATTCGAACAATTTTGATCATAAATCGTTGACATGGACATCAGCCATCCTACGTGGCGTGGCCGGCACTGACATAGACAATTTTATATAATATTTTATTACTTTTTGAAATTTTTATTTTTTTTTTCATTTCTTTCTCTTTCTTTTTTTTTTTATCTTCCCTTCTTGCTCTAGCCAGTTGCCAGACCTCGGCAATTGGCCAGAGGCGAGGGCAGCAAGGTTGACCTCGTCAGCACTGGCGAGGGTGAGCCTTGCTCGCCCTATTGAGGCTTGACCTTGCTGTCGTTGGGTGAGGTCGGCCTTGCCCTGCTACTAGGTGAGGTCGAGCCTCGCTAACCCAGCGAAGGCAAGTGAAATTTCTAATTTCAACATAATCGCATCAACGTCATGAAGGATTGAAGTTACAAAGCCAATTCAAGCCAATTTGAGGAGAAGGGTAGGGTCCTTTTCGACCTGGCACATCTTTGAGTTCCACGGGAGTGAAGAAGAGTTCACTGATGAGGTCAGAAGCTCGGAGAAAGCTCGGCCATGGATGCACGACCCGCCATTGAATTGGGATTTGTGGATTCTAGGGTTCGCCTAGCGGCAAGGCGAGGCCAACCACGCCCAATGACGGCGAGGTCAAGCTCACCGGCCCTCCCCTCTAGCCAGTTGCCGAGGTCCGGGGACCGACTAGAGGAAGAAAAGAAGAAAAATAAATAAAATAAATAAAGGGCCACGCTTTTTTTATTCCTATTATGACTAAAACACTCTCTATAACAGTATTGTGACAATATTAACCTTTATGGGTCTCGCTTTTTTAAGGCATCTTTTTTCTTTTTGTATGTGGTGTTCCGTTTATTTTCTTCTCTCTCTTTTCTCGCGGGTCCCACGTTCCTTCTTCTCGTTTACTTCCCTCTACACACGTATGTCCCTCTCTGCTTCCCCTTTCCATTTATCGCTTGAACACCGACAATGGCATCACAGCGGTCACCGTGGCACTCTCCTGTGCTGTACTTGTTTGGAGGCCTGGCGTTGATGCTGGGCCTCATAGGCATTGCTCTCTTGATATTGGCCTGTTCCTATTGGAAACTCTCCGGCAATTCGAGCAACACCCAAAGAGATGAAGAAAATAGGGTGAAGCGAAGACGAGCGATGGAAAAGGGCACAATAATGCTGTGAAGGTGTATGAAGAGAAGACAGTGGTGATAATGACTGGCCATAAGACACTTTCCTCGCCACGCCTATCTAGCAGAGGCCCTTCTTTTGGTGATTCTCAAGGCAACAATAATGGTGATGGTCAGAGCTTCACTGCAAAGGATGAGAAGGAAGACAATTTCGACAAGACCAAAGAGGTTAATAACATTAAAAATGATGATAACGATGATGATGTTGGCAATCATGCTGTTCATGGTCATAACTAAGAGATGAAGATGCGAGCACTCCAACCTTTGGCCGGTGAGGATGACAAGCTTCGATCGGAAGCCTCTCCAACCAAGGAACTCTCCGACTACTCTTCCCGTCGACAACCAGCCAAAACCGAAACCAAAGCCAAAGCTTGAGAGGATTGGAATCGAGATCTCGCCAATGCTCTTCAAGTCGGACAAGGAGAACCGCCGTCCCACGCCGTCGCGACTCCTTTGGCGAAGGTGGAGCAGCTTGATGCATCGCTCGCAGAGGAGTTGATCGTGATGAGGAAGAAGCTACAGAGGCTGAGGGTGGAGAGGGAGAGGACGGAGGCGATAAGAAGAGGCACACGTTCTTAGTGATGAAGATGAGGGAGGTCGAGGAGAGAGGCGAGGTACAGAAACTGCTTGAGATCGAGGTTGATCGGAATACCAATGGAAGCACTCAAGCTTACGCTCTTGGAACCGATGACGTGGAGATGATTTTGAGCTTGATTTTGTGGAGATTTGCCGACTGAGAAATTCTAGGGTGTTTGTGTTCGTTTTTAGTTGAATGAGAGAACGTTGCCGATTCCATCAAGAGGTCTCAAATTAGATACCAACAAAGCCAAAACCATGATCGAGTTAGGAGGGAACGGAGAGAAGTAAATATGAAGAAGGAAAATGGGACCCACGAGAAAAAGAGAAGAAAACAAATGAAAATCATGAGCCAAACAAAAAAGGAAAATACTTTCATAAAATTGCTTAAAAAGGTGGGATCCAAAAGGCTAATCTTGTCAAAACACTATTATGGAGAGTGTTTTAGCCATAATAGAAGTGGAAAAAGCGCAGCCCATAAATAAATAATTCGAAAATTTATTATAATGTTTACGTTATCACCGATCGTGCCACATAGGATACTTGGCGTCCATGTCAGAGATTTCCAGCTAGATGAACTACATTATCACAAATGCAAAAGGTTTAGGATTTAATTAGCAAAAATAGAATATTTAGGACTGAATTTGTACTGTTGCAATAAGTTTAAAACTCTTTTGGTAATTCTCCCTGCTTTTGTCACCACCTTTACCGCTTTGAGATTTCTGACGTTCAGAAATCCATTATTTTTTTTTATCTTTTTTTTTATGTTTGATGAATGAAATGCCTCATTATCGACCAAAAAAAAACGACAAAGAACAAGATCCGAAAGAAAAGAATCCCCGTTTCATTTATTCTCCACAACCGTTGCTTCAAATCTACCTCGAGTAAGTTCACTGCATCGCAATCTCCGATGCACGTATGATTCTTGATGTTGTTGATGCCAAGATAGGCAAAGAAAATTAATTTGAATGAGGGATATGTTGTTCTCAAATTAAGCGCTCGAGATTGATTTTTTGCAACTTAAATAAAGTGAAGAAATTTATATAAGATACCTTCTCACGCAAGCGAATTCACAAATAATATATAAATAGAACATGACTCCAGGGGAGGAACACGTGAAAATTCTTGGTAAAATATGTTAGAAAAACTCGAATGTGTCTGAATACATCTCACTTTTGTCAGTTACAATCTCTCCCCAAATCTCTCTCTCTCTCTCTCTCTCTCTCTCTCTCTCTCTCTCGCACATAAATATATGTTGGTCTCGACTTTCAGTTGAACATGGAATCATTCATTGAAGCTCTTGCTCTGAAATTCTGAGCTCTGAGTCGATGGCTATTGGAATTTCAACATCCACTTCGTCCACCACCACCACCAGAGCTTTCCTTTCTGGTCGAAGACCTTTCCTCTCTCTAAAAGCCAATCAAACGCGAATAGTCCCTCTCTCTCTCGCGATTCACCTGCGAAAACATGCTCACTCCGCGGGAAACAAGAACCCGAGACTCTGCATGGTGATGAACAGAGAAACAGAGCAAGTGCCTGCAGAGAACGAGAGCCGCACGGTTGTCCCGAGTGTCGCCGAGAAGCTAGCCAGAAAACGGCTCGAAAGGCACACGTACCTCGTCGCGGCGATCATGTCGAGCCTCGGGATAAGCTCGATGGCTGCCACGTCCGTTTATTACCGGTTCTCATGGCAAATGGAGGTGATCATAATAAGAGTACCATGATCCCAAGCAAATAAGATACTCTGTTTTATTTATGTAATTATTTCGTCGAGAGGAGATTCTGAATCGTGATTTTCTTTTTCCTTTCCGCATAGGGTGGAGAGTTTCCAATTGTGGAAATGTTTGGGACTTTCGCTCTCTCTGTGGGGGCCGCAGTAAGTGGTTGAAAGCTTCACGTTGTTTCTCTGTTGATGCAATTACTCCTTTCTGTACATCAGGAGGTTAAATAAGTTTGTCATATTGCTGCAACCAAAATTCGTTTTGTTAAAAAAAAAATTCAGGTGGGTATGGAGTTTTGGGCAAGATGGGCACATAGAGAGCTATGGCATGCCTCTCTGTGGCACATGCACGAGGTGAGTCGTTTTGGCCACAAGAATATGCAATATCCAATTTTGAAGTTCATTTTGAAGCAGAGTGCTCTGTTTTCTTCTGTACTGAACTCGACATTCATCATGGAGGTCACCCATTTTGTTCTCTTTTATTATTTTCTGTTCCATTTGGCAGTCTCACCATCAACCAAGAGAAGGTCCATTTGAGCTCAATGATGTTTTTGTGATCATCAATGCAATTCCCGCGATAGCTCTGCTTTCTTACGGATTCTTGAACAGGGGTTTGCTTCCGGGACTCTGTTTTGGTGCTGTAAGTCTCTCCCACGTCACTTTCCAAGAAACTTCCTTTTGTACCTGAAATTGGTTTGGCCTGTGTGGAAGGAATTGGCCATTCGACCATTCAGCACGTTCAGACCTAGTTTTCATAATTAAATTTGATTTATTCTGACAAATAGATGTCGGTTTTCCTTTTTCTTTTGGGTTAGTTCGAGATGGTGGACTTTTGAATTTGCAGGGTCTAGGGACTACAATGTTCGGGATGGCCTACATGTTTGTGCACGATGGATTAGTGCATCGGCGGTTCCCGGTAGGGCCAATCGCAAACGTGCCCTACTTGAGAAAAGTTGCTGCAGCTCACCAAGTAAATTCCCATGAAAAATCAGAAAATTAATCTCTATTTTCTTAATGGAACGTTGGATAATTTGCTCAATGTTTTTGGTCTGCATTTGATTGCCGCGATATAGATTCATCACTCGGATAAGTTCGACGGGGTGCCGTATGGACTGTTCTTGGGACCGAAGGTAGGCCTGAGTTTCTTGATTTGCTTGTTGGAGATGCAATCGAGTGAGTGAAGCAATTCAAATTTCCTCTTGTTTGAGCAGGAAGTAGAAGAGGTAGGAGGCAAGGAAGAGTTGGACAAGGAGATCAAGAAGAGGATCAAGATGTCCAAAGCTTCAAATAGCTCATAGGATCTATCAATTGTAATTGTTTCCAATCAAAAAGAAAGTAAAGAGGAAAAAGAAAAGCATCAAAAGAATTTATGCTTATTTTATATTTCGGGGAGCTAGAGGATCACTGTCATCGAATTACTTAGTGGCGCAACAGCTTTCTCATGGCGGATCCAGATAGAAATTGCTGTGATTAGAATAGGTGCATGTGCATCATGCATGTTTATTTTACGTGATGATTTGACTAATGTGCCTTTAAAAAACCATGAAAAAACACAAAGGACAAACTGATGTGATTTGGCTTCTTGTGATTGGTCAACTACTGCTGGTCATTTATTGTGCATAATCTAATCTCCCTATGTTAAACTTTGCCTGCAGGAGAAAAGACTTGATGATATATCTTCCACATAACTTGAACTTTTTAATTATGGAAGGAATATCAGGACTTTATTAAAGCTGATATATATGCTACTAGTTTGAATGAGTCAATTGCTTTGTCCAAATTATACCAAATAAAAAATTGTCAATCACTTTAGAAAATTCGATTTTATTATATATAAAAGAAAAAAAAGACTTGTTGACAAGTTCTTTACGGGCACACTAGTTAAGACTAGTAAAAATAGTAAAAGCGCATATTTCAAGAAAGTAATATTCTTGCAATAGAATTGTGTATGTGTTCAAAGCGCTATTGATAACCCTTGACAAGTGTATTGGGCGTACTTTTTAACATTTTGCGATTTAAAAATCGTTTCCAAAACATACCCATTCGTACTTTCTTGCATTTTACGTTCATCTTCGAGCGCAAGAGAGTGAGGGATTAGACGGAAGAATTAAAATGAGCTAGATACTTTTTTAACGGGATTAACTAATTTACCTTAAATTCGAATTTCAAAATATATAAATACGTAAAGTTTCATTGGATTGGCCTTTCAAAGGAGTAAAGCGACCTCTCCAAAATACGTACTAATAAAGAAAGAGGACCAAAAGAGGTCAACCAAGAATATCTGGTCAATCATAAGTCGGTCCGACCTTGGAAGGGATTCTCAGCACACAAATCTTTGACCTTTGACTTGTGGCTATGAATAGTCATAAAGCAAATGATCATGCTTTTAATGAACTTGCTTGAGCGAAAGCAGGTAAAGCCACTAATCATCAGCTTCAGAAAGCATTAGTTATTGGATTGATTTCCAGAAATTATCAAAGACCTAATTAGTCATTAGCTGTAAGTCCTTGATGTTTGGTTAAGAGTAACCTCACCAAAAAAAAGGAATCAAAACTCATACCGCGGCCTTTGCAGCCTATCCTGATCCTGTCGGGCAAACTCCACGTGTGTTCCTCATTTTAACGTGCTGGTGCCCACACGTCCTACACCCTCAACTCCCTCCAAATCTTTTTCTTCTTTGGAGAGAAGGAATACCCTCTTGCTACTTTACATCCTAGGGATCTCAAGATTTGAACGAGACCCAAGATGAAGCAGTTTAAGGACATGCTTAGGTCTAGTAAAGCTACTAATCGTCAGCTTCAGAAAACTTTAATTATTTGATTGATTTCCAGAAATTATCAAAGACCTAATCGGTCATCAGCTGTTGATCTCGTCACAAAGCATGCCACGATACATGAATTTTCAATTTTATAATTCACGGGAAGATGATCGACTCCTTTCGGTGTCTTGCTCGGAAGAAAGCAGAAGCAAAGGGCAGATCCGGCGCAACAAGATCAAAGCGTCATCCTGAACAGATGTCGCATGCATGCGTTGTGGTTAGATTAGTTTAATGGATCAGATTATGTGGATTGAAATCCAGCATTTAGACAACGACACCAATAAGCTATAATTAGCCATATAGGTAGCGACCTTATATCTTAATGAAATCAGAAAAAAAAAATTGAGGAATAAAAAGAATAGAGGGTGCATGATGGACCCCTAGCATCACGCGTTGTCGCCTCGAATAAATGTGATCTTGGAATGGAATCGGAGAAGAACACGTAGCCAACGGAAGAGGGCATTGTGTCGATGGTATAAGAGCTGAAGAGCGTAAGAGCTTTCGTCATTTGGGCAACCAAGGATTAAAAAACACCTGCCGACTTGCATTAGCTGCTAATGACATGATTATTCCTACATCTTATGTGATATTCAAATGTTTCTTTCTTCTCTGTTTGACCAATTGGTTTCATTCGTAGTTGGAGTGGCTCTCCCATCTCACGTCCATCTACTATAATGACTTGAAGCACTAATGATTAGACTTGTCAAAATAGTTCATAAATCCATTTTTTAACACGTATGTGATTGGCAAAGTTGTTATATGCAGTAAATGAGTCATAAATGAGTTTGAAATGATAAAACCCAAAATAATATGAGTGTTAAATAGGTCCACAACTTACTTAGATCCAACTCAACTCTATGACTCTCTTGCCCTTAATCAATCTTACGCCCGCTCACTCCACGCTTTCACCTTAGTTTGGGTGTGATTTTTCTTAAATTGAGTTAAATATAGAAGTATTTAAGTAATATGGGTGGGGGCAGGGTATGGGTTTGGACGGATATGAGTCACTAGATTGTATTGCATGGAAATGGGTCAATTGCGATAATTTGGGTCGGACCATTTTCGACCCGACCTATCCGTTTGACAGGTCTATTAATGACTTTACCGAGGTTGATCATACATATACACTCTCATGTACTATTTTTCTACTCATTTTCCATGCTTTGAAGGAGAGGGGAGATTGATTCACCAACGCGAAAATTTATACTAGAGGTCCCCATATATTTACTTTGATTTAGACATAATACGGCGGTATTGACCATGATAATGGATGAGTTTTTTGAGGAAAATAGCCAACGATATGATATCGATATCTCTTTGATAGTGGAGCTTTGCCTAAAAAGCCATGTGCATCATAATTATTTTAATTACGCCTAATCCCTAATTGGGTTGCAATCTTCTTTTCTTGTCTGTTTTTGGCTCATTCGCACGATGAAGATAACGATAGAATTCCTACAAAAGAGGCCGGGGAGAAGAAGTGATCGGAGAGACGTGTAAGCAAAAGAAATTGAGACGTCCACGTGATTATTTATATCCTCTTGTCGTTGGAATTTGCTGTTGCTGGTGTATTCATACCAGCATCACATCAGGCGTCGTATACAGCCGTCGGCTTTGATGGGTATAATATATCCATGTGATGTTCATACAGCTCAAGCACCATATGCCCTTTTATTTTTCCACCGATAAGCTCTTTTTTAGCATAAACGACAAAAAAATTAAGAAAAGAGAGATGAAATTGTGCTATTTCTGTATATTGCTTTGTGTTAGACATTTCTAATATCTTTCTTAGTTCTTCATGGATCTCAGAATTATGCATTTATCTCTCTTGATTGTAAAAGAATATTGATACTAATTGAATGTAATTGATACTTTAACTTATTACCTTAGGTAGTCATCTGTAAGTCTATTTCTTCATTAATACAGACAGAAACATATAGGAATTACACAATTCTTTCTTCGCATTATTATTTATCTTAGTATCACAGTCTAAGGAAGAGCCTCTTGAGTCTACTGCTCTTAAGTATTGTTCCGACACTTTCCGTCGCTTGTATCCAAAAACCAACACCATCATCAGACGAGCCGAATCCTGAAATTTCAATGCGATTCGACACTGCACGCGCCACCACTCACCGTTGCCCCTCGAATCCACGCACCTCACACGCCTTCACACGTCTTCGCGCGCTAGAAGCTATTTTATGCGTATTTCTAACTTCACCCACGCGTCAGCCAAACATCAGCATCATGTCAGCTCCGAGGTCAGATTCTACCATGTCATTTAACACGTCATCTAACACGTCATCCGCCACGTTATTGGCCACAATTGTCACGTAAGACTCAAACGTTTATTTTGTCACATTATTTACCAGCTCAGTGACACATAATCTTTTTTGTCGTATAGTGAGCCACGTTGGCCAGTTTGCCTGATCAGCCAAACCAATCAGTTCTCTTTGCCCGCTCGTACGCTTCGCCCGCTAATTCGTCCTCAGCCGGATCGGTTCACTTGCAGTATCTTCATCGGTCCAATTTGGATATTTTCAAACCGTTTCTTGACAAGTTTGGATTGGTTTCTATAGTATTTTGACGTGTTGAATCTATTTCTAGCCTTAATTTCTCCATGTCTGCCCTCCAAAGTGTTGTTTACTTTACGTTCTTTATCCATTCTACTGTCTTTTTCACTAGTAAAGTGCCTATAATAAATAAATTAGAAGTCTCACTGCTTATTCAGACCATTTTGAATTGATCAAACTATATTATATATGCCCAAGAAATATCTATTTTTTTAGAGGACGCAATTTTGACGCTACGTCAACGGTGATATCATGCGTCTACTACTATAACTAGGGAAACTGAAGATGAATTTGTTGAACGTATGGAGGATTGGGATAACTGGAATCATCAAATACTCACATGGTTTCAAGATACTTTGATTCCGTCTATCAGATTTCAGTTTGGTCGGCTCAATATAGCAAAGGAAGTCGGTACTCCATCCTAGATATTGTCCATCAGTATCAGCAGTTAGAAAAGGAATCTAAGGCTGGGCATGGCAACTTGCCAAATAGTGTTTGATTCTGTTTTTTTATTTCCAGAATCAGTTTGGGAATAGAAATACGTTTGTTTAATTTTTTGATTCTGGGCACAAATTCTTGCAAATTTGTGCCCAGAATCAGTTTTGGAGCAGAATCAAGAATAAAAAAAAAGTAGCTTCTTGATTTTGGGAACAAAAATGAGAATCAATTTTTTTTTTCTTCTTCTTTTTCTTGGTTTTTAATGTAGCTTCTAATGTCCGGCGCGAGGGCCACCCTCGCTGTATTTGGCGAAATTAAAATATTTTAATAAAAAATATTATTAATAAAAAAAAAATTTACCGGCCATGGCCAGTGACCAGGGCATGGCGAAAAAAAAATAAAAAAAATATTATTAATAAAAAAAATTTTACCGGCCATGGCCAAAAAAAAAAATAAAAAATATATTTTCAATAAAAATATTTTTTATTGAAATATTTTATATAAAAAATATTATTAATAAAAAAATATTTAATATTTTACCGGCCATGGCCAGCGACCAGGCCATGGCG